ATGGAACCAACTTCCGAAAAGAACGTTTTCTAAATGTTTTAAAGGTGTAGCGATATGATCCTTTTATCACAAAGATTGCGCAATAATAATGTCAGATTTGAAGCAAGTTAGCAAATCCATGACAAGAGTTTATATTATTGAAATCTACTTACAGTGTGGTTTTGTAATGTTTAAATTTCCATCCAAACCTGACCACTTTCCTGTGCTGGAATCACATAGCAAGTTGCGGTCTCCAAACAAACTGTAGTCGGGTTTACAGTTGAAGCTGAGAGTGTTGTTGGCCAGGAATCCACCTAAAATGTATCCATTCTCTGGAGAAGACATCTTTGGACAAAGACGGAGACCTGTCAAACAGAAAAGGAATCACTAATTGTGAAGCCTTAGTTAATGCATCTGAAGAATGGATGGTAATGACGTCAGATAAAAATTGAGGTCGCCTTTGGTGATAAAAACGAGTTAACGATTTACTCTCTCCTCTGACGTTTTAAAATATTGTCTGTTCCTCAGCGAAATCTTAAACAGCTTAATTGCAACTTTGTAAAAAAAATTCTTATTGTTTGATTGCACAAGGTAGTCAGTATCTCACCAAATCTGGGAAAGATGAAGAGCTGAGTTTTCCAAGCTGTAGATATATGATAGTAAATTATCGGATCCAGAGAAACCATAACGACTTACACTTGAAAATATCGCGCATTTTATAGGCTGTAAATTTGATGTCAATATGATGTAAGTGTACACAATGATGTAAATGTGATCTAAATTCAATATGATGTTCATCAAATTTACACCATTTTGGACATTGACATCATATTTACATGAAATTTACAACCTTTTATAGTGCGCGATTTTTTCCAGTGCTAATGGGAAATAATCTGCAGTATCTCCGATATGTCCATGTCGTGCAACATTTTTTATTATTTAAACGCTATAGTGTAAATCAGATAGAAGAAAGGGACAAAAACCTACATGATGGAATGGAGTTGCTCCATGCACCATTTTCCAGACAAAGTCGGTTGGATGGTCCCACCAATTCGTAGCCTGGATCACAAGTGTATACAACCATATTCCCGGCCCAAAACTCATTGCCAGTGCGATAGACATTCAGCGGTTTTCCAGGATCGCCACAGCTCATTAGGGCTATAAGAGTTGGAGAAATTTAGGTATTTTATGATACATTTTGCATCCATTGTGGACTTTTTCTTACGTGGCAGTGTTTGGAGTGTTTCATTCCTTCGGTTACTTACCTTTTCCACTTTAATCTTCGAAAATGCATTGTTAATAATTGGATGCATTGTTAATAAGTGATGTCATTATTGATTAGTGGGTCTATGGATATAGTACTATTGTGCCATTAAGGCTACATAATGATGGGTTCCTTCATTCTTGGACTTACAAACTTGTATTGTAGTTTCGGCTGTTCCATTTTCGTAGTTTCTAAAAAAGCATTTGTATCGTCCTTGGTCTTGAGGCATGAACGGATCAATGACAAACTCGCCTATAGTTTCTTTATTGGTCTGGCGAACTGTAGTGTTTACAGATAAATGTCGGCCATCTTTGCTCCACTCGATCGTTGGCAGCGGAAATCCAGTAGCTGAACAGTTCAATTTGACGTTGCTCATGACTTTATATACGGTCACATTATTAGGCGAGGATTGAACAATGACCGGAGCAACTGGAAATATCAATATTAATTTGGTATTTGAAATAMAAATTTTGATCGCAAAATGTTCGCTTATCAAAGTATTTATCTACAAACTAATTGAGAGATAGTAAATTCAGTCGCTACTTACTGACGGAATAAACATCGAGCAATACAAGTGCAAACACATTCCCTTGGTTATTGATTCCYCTGCACATGTAGTGTCCACTATCCTCTTTTCTTGTATTCGTGATAACAAGGCTGTTACCAGTCATTACATGGCGTCCCTTAGGCATGGCTTTTCTCGCACGTGTCCATTCGAACCACGGAGGAGGAAACCCAAATATATTGCATGTGATGGTTGTGTTCCAGCTTTCATAACCAGAGACGTAAAGTGGAGGTAGAACCACAAATCGTGGAGAAACTATAACATAAAATGAATGTTATACTAATAATTATTCACAATGCTAATGGGAGTCCACAATCAGCCTAGCATCATCTTGATACTTCAGAATCGTTTGATCAGTTTTTTTTAAWKKTWWKRC